CTGTAACCACCATTCTGGTAAGATGTCAAACACTTCGACCTTGTCACCTCTGCAAGATGCTGATTCTGTCAATATGCAAAATATGTTTTACCATGTAGGTTGTGATGTCCACGTTGTTAAGATTTCTACCGTTTTGCTGAGTCGGACAGGATCACGATCCGTTCTCGAGAAACACAAGCGCGATCACGGCGTCGATCGCGTCGGCCTGCAGCGGGCGATTGGACGCGATCACGAGTAGATGGTGATCGGCTGTGGTGTCTGGGAGGTGAACGGCTGCCAGTCCTGTCGCTCCCTCTAGGAGATCGGCCACGGGAAGGTTCCCGATGGGGGGGTCTAGGCGACGACCGCGAACGTTGCGGAGAGCGGGGGGGCCATCCGCGACCCCCCGGAGGTCGCGAGTCGGAGCGCCCCCCGCGTCTTGGAGACGGCGACCCTCGTCGCGACCAACGCGCGCCACCCGGGCTGCGGGAATGCCGTCGGTTCATGTAGGGCGACGGCCTCCGGCCCCCCGCGCGTCGCGGAGAGGGCGCCCTGTCGCAGCTGCCCTTGCTGCGCTGCCGAACGAGGCTCCGTTCAGGAGTCTTGGCATTGGGACTAGGGTCGACGTGAGCACTGCGGCGCCGGTCGCCGCGCGCGCACGTTAGCTTCGGATCTGCGTAGAAGGTGCATTTCGGTTAGTGGAGATGTCTGCCGCGATCTTGGTTTGGACAGAATCCGTGCTTGGCGAAAGCGAAGGAGAAGTTCTGCCGGGGTTTGTCTTTTGTGGCTGGCCCTGAAAAGCCGCCAGTCGAAGACGGTCTCTCACGGTGGCCCTTGCCGCGAGTAGATGATCGCTGGGTGGGTCGTGTAGACTGCCAAGGCCAGTATGTAACATATTGCATATGTCCGAATTCTTGCAGATTCCAGACTTGAGCGCTGCGCAGTTCGCAGAGTCGTGTCGGCTCGATTCGCGCTTGAGGTCATGCTGGTTGCGCTCGAGTCGGTGGAGTTCTAGGTTGGCCAACACACGCTGCCGAAACTATTCGTGCGTTTTATTGGGGTCGGTGGGAGTCATTTTGCTATAGTCGCGCATGTCCTGCTTCATCAAGTAATGTCGTCGCATCTGAGCTCGGAATAGTGACTCCATTATTTTTGTGTCGGGCGGTTCGCGGCATTTGAATAATAGGTTGTCCCAATCCACAATGGACCGTTTGAATTCGTCGTTGCGCATGCGTAGTAGTTGCAGACGTTCGAAGTCGTGTAGAGCGACGTCGACTGCGGTGACTTTGTAGTCTTGAACATGCGGCCGCCCTCGTGGTCCCGAGCTGTCAGGTTCTTGATGCGGTGGCGCAACTCGGAATTCAGAACCGCGGTGAGTCTGGCTGCGAGTTTGCAGTCGATGCTTTCGAAGTCGCCGCTGTCTCGCAGGTCCTCGTAGGTTGTCGCGGGTTGTTCTGCAACGCATAGGAATGCATAAGCCTTGGCAGGGCGCCCAGATGCGCTGCTAAAAATCTTGCGAACCATGCGTTGCCGCTCTTGCAGTTGCGTATTGCGTGGCGGTTGTGGTACGCGTACGGTGTCGGACTCCTTGATTGGAGTTGTCGTGGCTGTAGAGACGTGCGATAACGTCTGCGGAGGAACCGGTTGCGTTGGGGAAGGAGGTCGCACGGGGGAAACGTGACGTGTCTGTGTTGAGGCCGCAGCAGAGGCAGCGCCTGGCGACGTACGTCTAGCATGGCCTGCGCGGACGCCACCATCGGCACGCATTCTGGCCGGTCGATGGTCTAGAGGTGGCTGGTGGAGCTCAGCGCCGCTAGCGCGTGCGTGGTCAGGGTAGCTTCGTTGGTCGAAACGCTGCTGGATCTGTTGGACACTCTGGTGAAAACCACATAGCTCGACGTTGGTATCGTGGGTGCGCTGGGAGTGCCTATCCAGCCTGCGCTCAAGGTCTTGGAATCGTTGGTTGTGTGTTTCGCGCTCTTGTTCCAAACGGGCTAGGATGGAATCGGCCCGTGTTTTTTTTGTCCAGCGTCTCTTTCCTGGGATATCTGGGTGAGTCGCGACTGCGGGTGGTCCGCCTCCTGCTGCACCTCGGCCGCGCGGGCTTCGAGGAAGGCGAAATCGTAAACCGAAGTCGGGGTGCCCAGTGCCAAGCTGATCAGTCTGGGCCCACACCAGAAGCAACTCAGCCAGCGCAGTCCTTAATTCGGGGATCTGCTGCTCGACCTGGGAGACTCGGTTCTCGAGCGTTGGCACGCGTCCTTCGAAAGCTTCAAGATGGCGAGCGAGGGCCATCTCGGCGCCACGTAGCTTACCATCTAACTCTGACGTGAGTGCGGTGTGGTTGGAGTGTGCATGGTGGTAGTATGCTGTTCGGCCTGGGTGCGAAGTGTGTCCAAGTCCGCACGTAACTGAAGGTCCGTGGTTCCATGTACCTCCATCGGTGGGGCCTGCCTTACCATCAAGAGCTCATCGTGTAGTGTCCTGACAGCGGCAGCCCCTGTATCCCTGACTGTCACGA